TACTTTCCGAAAAGCAGTAAAAAGTTTAAGCACTTAAGCCATTTAAGGAAAATTTTTATTTCATTAGATTGTGAGAAAAGACGTAAAGGATATGTGAGATGTTTTTTTTGGTGTCAAGATCAATCAAACAGTTTGTATTTTCATATCTTCACAACCTTAATTCGATAACCATGATTTTTCTAATGAGGAAGTGCTATTTTTTGGGGATAATAATTGAAACGTTTGTTAAAAGTAGTGGTAGTAGATTTGCAAATTGAATTATGGCAGGGTTGAAGGATTTAAAACTGGGACCTGATTTGGAGTGTCAAATAAGGATTTAACATTCTAAGAGCTTTGAAGACAATTTTTTTGTACACTTATCTCTTATGAATAACCTTAGCATTTTTAGTAAATTAACTTAAGAAATTTAAAAAAAAACAGCTAGGAAAAGCTTTGGCTGATCTCTCCTTCCCTTAGATTTCGTAGCCGCCCAACTTCCTATTCATACGAGTCACAGCAACTAGTATTCTCAAATTACCGCACATTGAATCGTCTATCCACTTAACGTCCACTCTATGTCCGAACAAATCTGCGCATAGCTTTCACCGCTACAGCTGTGACTGCTGCGATGAGCGATCGCTGCGCTCAACGCTTTAGTACAAATCTGTTCGTGTAGTCGTTATCGGTTCGTTAGGGTGTAATTGAATCTGACGATAGCCGCCGTCGTCCATCCGTTGAATGTTCGGTCAACCGAGCATTAACCCAACGAATAGCGATTTTTGACGACACATGCATGTCGTAAGCACATTAGCGCCAAATTGCATTCGGAAACTCAGGAAATGCAGAAAAAAAAGTTTGCATGAAGAATGCATCATTAGGCAAAAGAAACATGCGACAGAATAGCTAGAGGAAGCGAGGTTAGAAGAAAAATCTCAAGATTAGAGGAAATTCGCATATCGCTTTCGTTTAAACGTTGAAGATATATTCATGTTCTTTGATTATAGAGAAGATTGATACGTTATATCTCCAAGCATATACGTTATTAGACAGAATTGAATATTTCGAATGAGATCGAATGATCGAGTACTTTTAATTAAAATTTGATTACTATTCGAGAACTTGATTGTTTTTATTTGAGAAATAAATATTTATCAAAAAATCCAATGAATAATGATATAGTTTATACATTATCATATATTTTATGACAAATAATATATAAGATCTAAATAATTTCATAGAAGTTCTTTTATTTCAAATCTTTTCTAATTCCTCTCCATTTCAATTGGCTAACTATTTAGATTTAATGCATAGATG